GATCTGGATATGCCCCTAAGTCTTCCATTGATATACATAATATCATGTGATGTTCGCAATTTGAATGCATTTTAAGGGGGAATATTGAATTATAGAAAATATGTGTCTAAAGACCCCCCAAAAAAAGGGGTTTGAATTGTGGATCCATGACATGTCCAACAGGTGGAGCCCCAAACATTAATTATGGAAAAAATAATTATGGAAAAAAATAATTATGGAAAAACCGGTCAATCTGCCCTAGCCCCCTGATTTTACAGGAAAAATCAATTATGGAAATAATGGCCACCTCCAAGAATTATGGAGAAAAAAAAAGGTTCGGATCACTTCCGGGATATTTTGAACCCTTATGGGGAAAAACCTAATTATGGAAAAATCGGACGCAGGCGCCGCCTGTCTAAGTTGAACGTTTTTTTTTTCCATAATTCTGTCGGTGACCATATATATATACTAGTATATATATATATATATCAGATTATAGTGAAACAGTTAAATCATTACTTGTAGTATATAGTGATGGTGTCAGACAAATACAATACATTATGTCACACTGTTGTTTTCATTTGAAAGGTTTGACCGTGGCTGCTCACTTTCGGACAGGTCCTGGACGTTTCATGGCAGCCGCACACCCAGTCTGCCAGTATTCTTTGCACCATCAAGCCGGAAACCAACTCCAAGGGGTTACACGACCCACAATAATGTGGGTAAAACAATACCCTCTGGTAATTTAACATAGCTATTGAAAATGACCATTTATAGTGGAATTTCCAATTGAAAATGGTGATTTTCCATAGTTATGTTAGTTTACCAGAGGGTAATATTGGGAATGGTTTATCACCTATCTATTCTTGATTTGGGGGATGGTTTAATATTGTTTTACCCAGAATAAACATGATATGGCCATTTCGATGAACTGGAAGACCTCCTCGCTGAGGCCCATTGCTGTTTTCGTGGCTGCCCTACTCGTGGCTGGCCTAAGATGGTCACATCAGCTGTGACTTAAGGTTTTCGATGTTTACCACTTATTTGGGGAGGATGATGCTGATGATGATCATTATTATTACTACTTACTTTACTATTGCAGTACTAGTGTTATTGTTATTGATATTGTTAGTGCTATTGTTATTGTTTTTGTTGGTGTTTTTGTTATTATTAATATTATCACTATTATTACTATCATCATGAACTAAGCAGAATTGACCAACATCATTCAGCAGGGGATGAAACCACCCAAGCAGTTGTCTCTCCTTCAGATCGAACGCACAAAGGCCTATGAGTTGCTCGCGATGGTAAGATATGAACATTGGCTTGCTTTGGTTCGAAAAAGATGTGGTTGGAACAATATGCTGATTGGGGTAATAACATCAACCTTAGCTTCATAGCCACCTGAAGTCAGACGCGGCGCAACGTCAGGGTTGCAGCGAACATGTTTCAACCAGAGTTTTTACCAGGACATACCCTCTGGTAATTTAACATAACTATTGAAAATCACCATTTTTAATGGGAAAATCCACTATTAATGGTCATTTTCAATAGCTATGTTAGTCATAACCAGAGGGTACTGGGGTTTCCTATGTTTTCCGGCTAATTTGCCCTTCCAAGTCTGGGAAAGATGGGATTGTCAGCGCTACCAATGGTTTCCGCCGAGGCGCAAACAATGGTGCACTCTGTTTGGAGCTGAGCCGGTGGTCCAAATATGTCCAGATATGATTTGAAAGCGTGTGTGATGCTGACTAATATTTGTTTGTTCGGTTTTTTTTGCTATCTTGAAGTCTCACAGTCTCTTTTTGTTTGGTTTGCGCACACAAAGCCAAGCAGCGGCTGAGAAATTTCTGTCCATACTGGTGCTCTCCGTCTTTCTGGTGTTCCCTGCCATGGAATTGCTGGTCTTGCTCATAGGACGGAGGGGTGGAGCGAGGTAACTTGGACAAATTTGATCGTCTGTCCACTTGATTTGCAAAGGCTATGGATTCTATGGTTGGCCTTAAAGTCATCCAAAGCAAAACTGTTGGAAAGGAATACATGTTCGAATGCAACGCCACTCAATCTCACAATACTGAAACGGTACCGTAACTTCTCAGAAAGGTCACAAGAGAAAATTAAACGACCGGATAACCCCACAAGTCAAAACTTCCAATAATTACAAACAGGCTTAATGCAGGGCAGGAGAGACGAAGGAGAGTTGTTTGCAAGAGTTGTGTGTCAAAGTGTGGTGTGTGTGAAAGAGTTGTTGCTGGAAGAAGTGTATGTGCAGGAGGTCTATCTGGAAGAGCCTGGGGAAGAGGTGTGTGTGTGTGTGAAAGAGTTGTGGGTGACAGAGCTGTGTGTGAAAGGGTTCTACAGAGTTCTGCGGGGAAAGAGGCTTGTGCCATGCCTGCCACACAGATTATTGTTGTTGTTGTTGTTGTGGTGTGTGTGTGTGTGAGTCGTGTGTGGTAAACTTGTGTGTGAAAGAGTTGTGTGTGTGTGACAAAGTTGTTGTGTGTGACAAAGATGTGTTTGAAAGAGAGGTGTGTGAAAGAGTTGTGTGTGTGTGTTTAAGAGCTGCGTGTGTGTGTGAGTGATAGACTTGTATGTGAAAAAACATGAAAGGGAGGTGTGCGATTGTGACGTGTAAGAGTTGCGTGTGTGTGTGTGTGTGATAGACTTGTATGTACTGTAAAAATATATGAGAGAGAGAGGTGTGTGAAAGAGTTGTTTGTGTAAGAGTTGTATGTGACAATGTTGTATGTTATGTGAAAGAGTTGTCTGTGGGAGAGAGGAGGAGAAGGAGAAGGAGGGAGCGGACGGGAGCGCACAACAGAAAACAAGAACCCTACTCATTGATGTGGGGAAAAAACATTCACACTTTCCCTAGAATACTCAATGCATTGAAAGTCCTCGGGTTAATCTGTTTTCTGCCATCCAGGAGTTGTTGCTGCTGCTATTTGGAGAGGAGTGAGATGGAAGGCAGTGTTGTCTGGCCCACAGTTGCCCTGGCCAAATCAAGATGCCAACTATGCAACACCTCTGTAATTTTCAATATGTTTGGAATTCTTTGGACGTGTTGCCTGTTGACACCTTTGCTTGTATGGATTTGTATATATATATATATTTGTATATATTTGTATATATTTATGATACATACATATATATATACAATATATATATATTATAGATATAGATATTTGTGGCAATGGTTTACAGCAATATTATGCAACATTATGCATTATGCAACATTGTATATACACATTGTATATTCATCAAGTTGATCGTACAGTGCATATATATATATACACATAATATGTTACATAATATATATATATATATTGTAGTAGGTGATATATGTCATAAAATACTATTAATATGTTATATAACATATGAAATACCTGGCTGCCCTGAATATGGTCACCCCAGGAGAGATTGTTTCGAAGATTTTCCCAGGTTTTGGACTTGGTGGCCTTTTTGGAAACTGGTCCTTTGTGTAGGAGTTGGGCACCCCAGGTGTTGGAAAATTTGGAAAACCATGGGGAGGACACGGATAAAATGGGGAGAACATGGGATTATAATGGGATAATACTGGGATAGATCTGGGATAGAACATGATTTGAGATTGTCCAAACTTGTGGTGCGGTGTACCACAGTTTTCCAGTGATGACCGTAATCATGATACTCGTGTTGACAAACGGCCATAAGTTTGGCTCATGTCCAGTGTTCAGACCTACCCATTTGGCGCTTTCAGCCGAACCCCCTTCCAAGGCAGCTGCAGTTGCCATGACTTTTGGTGACTTCCTATGGCAGGGCAGCCTAAAGTCATGTCCAAAGTGGAAATCACAATGGCTACGCTGATGGATGTTCACAGTTTTCCGCCAGAATACATGTGATTCTACTTTGCCATGAATTTGCAGTTGTCATCTCTGGACCAGCACCCGCCAAGATTGTTGACATGTTGTTCCTTCAGTTCTGTTTAGAATGTTTAGAAAAAAACGGGGCATCACATTGTATATAAATGATTTGTGTTCCAAGACTGCATGGAAAATACATGTTTTTTGTGTGCTTGGCATGCGGGCTATATACATGTCTTGACAATACCACATCCCAATACTGTAACATGAAGATTCACAGTGTAAAGAAAAAAGACACACTGAATCCCAAACACCACGACGACTCATTCATCACAAGGTGGTGCCCCATAGTTAGCTAAGTTGGTTCAAATAAGTCCCATTTCACTATGGTTTATGGCAGATATAACGAACTAGTTAATGGGGTTTATAAACCCACAAACATAACTGGGGGGCACCATCCTGCAGGAACAATAACTTTTTACCAGCTCGGCTTATCGACAGAATGCAGGCGCAAGTGCAGTGAGTACAGGAAAGGTGTTTAGTGTGTACTTGGAGATGCGGGACCCAGGTATCAAGTGGGTAACAAGCATGTCACATAATGTATATATATAATATAATATATAATATAATATAATATAATATAATATAATATAATATAATATATATAAAATAATATAATATATACATATATATAAATAATATATAGATAATATATATAAATAATATATAAAAAATATATAATCAATTATATAAATAATATATACATAATATATCAAAATATCAAAACAATATATAAATAATATATGAATAATATATAACTGTTTGTAAATAATATAAAACTAATATATTATGTAAATAATTAATAAATAATATATAAATTATATATAACTAATATATATATATAAAACAATATGTAACTAATATATAAATAATATATATAGTATTAATATATATATATATTCAAGTTTTCACATAATATATTAATAATATATTAATAATATTTTAATACTATTGAAATAATATATAAATAATATATAATATATATATTAAATATATATATATATAATAATATATTATATTATATATATAATACAATATAGATGATATATATATATATACATATATATATACATATATATATATATATGGAGATGTATATAATATGATAAGATACATTTCATGGGATACACCCCAATTATATGTAGGCTAATCATTCGACACTTGCTACCTGTCTCCAGCTCCTGCCGTGCAACGGCGCTCGGTGGCCAGGTCTACCAGAGCATCAATCCGCTGAACGCCAACGTCACCGGACTTCGACTCCAAGATGCTGGCGCCATCACCTTTGCGCCTTGACCGGCCTGAAAAAAAAACATAAAAAAAACGTGGATTTCATGGGGGATTTCAGTGAGAACAACGGGGGATGTAGGAAGATATAGGAAGATTGAGGCAACCATGATGACCATGACCAGGGTTGCTCCAAGCCAGAGGTAATCTGTGGCCACAAGGGGGAACCATCGTACCCTTGTATTTGGGATGTTGAGAGCAACCCTGCTGGACTCATGGTTCGAAAAAATGGAGTCTATGGTGAACACCAAAGAATGTGATTGTTTGATGAGGATGGACAATGATGGCGATTCATGATTAGATTGGATGATGATGGATGATGGAGGGCGATTGGATGTTTATAATTTGATAGCTCTTGGATGATCATTGGATGACAATCATGGCGGCTCCACATGTCGCTTCGAAGGACCGCAATTCAGGAGTAGACCGCATGATGGCCTAGCTGGCGTTGATTGTGAAGTTGTCGACATGGCTTTGGTGTTTTTGTCCCATACCCTCTGGTAATCCAACAGTTGAGCCATGGAAAAAAACGAAAAACACACATGTCTAATAGGCAACTCTTTTACAAAGGGGTAAATTTCACTGGCTATGTTAAACTACCAGAGAGTGTGTTGCAGAGTGAGGTCGGATGCAGATAAAATCGGATAGCTGATTGAGTTCGTGAAGCGTGCTATCTCATGTTTGATTTGTTTCAGCTATACCACTACCAGGGCCCCACTACTGCTAGTCACATTTGGAGAAAAACCCTCTGGGAATCCAACAGAGCGATGAACAATGGCCTCTTTGTGGCAAACTGTTACTGTACCAGAGGGACTATCCTGGTTGGTGGTTTGGAACATGATTTTTTTCCATTCAGTTGGGAATAATGATCCCAACTGACGAACTCATATGTTTCAAGATGATTAAAATCACCAACCAGTATCCCAGGTTTTGGATACCACAATTGCTGTTCAATTTATGGTTGGGCTAAAACCATCTAAAACCCCCACGTAAGCCACTACTGAACCCCTTTTTTTTTCGACCAAGTGGTTCAATCCCCGCCTTGATCCCATTATATCCCATTGGATCTCGGGGCTTGTTAAAATAAGCCATCCCCAAGTCACCATATACTATATATAGATACAAAAATATGACTATGGCATCAACATATCATCCATATATATATATATATACATATATTATTGTTATTAATTATTATTACTATTATTATTATCATTTTATTATTGTTATTATTATTATTAGTATTAGTATTATTAATTATTAATAATCATTATTGTTATTATTTTTGTTAATATTGCTAAAATGCTCCAATTTTGGATGTCACAGTACTTGCCATGACTTTGGAAACGTCGCCAGACCGGTTGTTTCGTGGACACCACGACCTTCTGCGTGGCGGCCATCACCTCCGTCTCGGAGAAGGCGAGAATCATGGGATTTTTCATGGCTTCCCCCGTTGGTAAACAGACAAAAAGGTGCATTTTTAATAGTTAAATCATGGGTAAAATCATCAATACATATTATAAATGAAACATTTTGAAGAAATTGCTAGATTAGCGGAAACTCGAGGGTAAAAGTATTAAATTGTGATTAATGGGAGTTATTTATATATATATACATAATAATGGGATATGATATAACAAACCAATTTCGTATGATTTGTGTTTCAAGGGCCCCCCTAAATGGCAATCAAATGATGGGGAAAATTATGATTCACCGGAGGATTTCGGGGTACCCTATTTTCAGACAAACCCATAGGGCAAATAATGGGGGATCCTATGGTTAGATAGCTATATTAGTTGTGCTGATCGTTTTCTATTGTCCCATTGGTAAATACAACATTTAATTAGGCACTCTACATAATTAACCTTGGTTAATCATCAGTATCCAGGATCAATTCCGGTGTATTCCAAGCGGGGTATACCCCATTTTCAGACACACCCATATACATAAGATGTCAAATGCTCGTGTTGTTTGTGGTTGGCCGTTTTCAGGCTGGACGACTTATTCCATCAGACTTGTCTCAGTACGACCTCTTCATGACAGGACTTGATCTCAGCATTTGAGTTTCAACCTTGGCTGGGTAGTTCAAACAACGTTTTTTTGTGCCATAAATCAGAAGTGAGTATATATCCAACACATGCTATAATGCGCTTTCAAAACAACTGCGGTTTTCAGAAAGCATAACGTTTAAACGGCTTATAACCTTTTTGCATTGTTTGGCGGGGTGTTTTTCATTGGCAAAGCGTTTTGTTGAACCGTGTCCTCAGGCACAGACTGCTGCGAGTGCCCTGGAGAATTCCGCTGTGGAGATTGGAACCATCCTGGCGAACATCTCGGTAGCAGTCCCAAGGGTTTGGACAGAGATGCGACCGAAGAGATACAAAGAATAGTTAGTTGTGGTTAATTGTGGTTGTTCCTATAGTTAATTGTGGTTGATTGTGGTTGTAAATCTTTCTGTGAATTCGTTGAATGTGTTCATGATGTACTGTAACAGAGGTCAGACGCCGGACATGTCTTTCGTGTCCGGCAGTGTCCGATATTGGAAATCCAGAGACACAGCTTGCATGAGATCTCCATCGGTGGCTTGTTTCCCGGGGGCCATCAAGGTGGTTTGCGAGAAACAGACCCAAGGCCTGGGGCGGGTGTTTTTCACCGGCAGACATGTCGGGTTAACACAACCACTTTAACACAATTGTAGGACTTGCAGGATAGGAAGCAAAGCCATTCCAAGTTTGTCGAAGATTGCTGTCATACCTTGGAGTTGGCAGGAATCCTTGAGACAACTTGATCAACTTGCCATTCGTAGTCACTAAATTGTTCAGAGGCAGGAATAGGCAACAGGAGAAATGAATGAATCAAAGTGAAACCTACTTGCTTTATTTTACTTGAACATGTTTGAAATGACTGTTTATTATATTCATATAATGGTTTATATGCTCGTTTGAATCTATTTGATGCCTGTGATATCCTTTCTTGTTGAATCTAAATCCTCACATCGACCTTACGTCAGGAAGGAGAAGTTTTACAAATTGGCCACCGCAGATTTTGCTGCGGCCTATGGCAAGGTGGATGGCTCAGTGACAACCATTGCATGCAAGAACAGGAGACATGTTTGCCGCATGCCACGATCATGTCAATGTATAGATGCACCATGAATGCAGTGTTTAACACCATTTAACGCACATATACGGTGAACTACAGAAACAGCTCAAATAGGTGTTGCTTCCCAGATGGCTTAATCCTGTTTTATAAACTTTGCTGGACATGACTTATGACATCTACGGACGAAGAAAATCGCTGTGGCTCCATCGTATGATTCTCAAAGAGCGAAGCAGAAGCAGAAGTTCCACTTATGTTTGCCCATGATATTCCCATGATATGTCCATCGTTATTCCCATGATGCTTGGGCCGCTTGGCTTCTAGCTATAACATGGTGTAACATGGTGTAACATCATATCACCATATCTTCATTGCTTAGATCCAGCAAGAACCAACGACTTGAACCGGGGCAGAAACCGATGTGTTGCGGAGCTTGCACTGAGTCGGTGAAGTATCCTATCTTCCTCCAATGGCACAACGATCCTTGGCAGGGGATGGGATAAGCATCCAGAGCCAGCGCAACATAAATGTCGGATATCAATGGATACAACTTCATTATTATTAGTATTATAGTATATTATAGTTATTGTAGTAGGTAGCTAATTAGCTAATAGCCAAAGTTAAAAAGCCAGTTGTACATGGGATACAGTAGACACCAGTTTATACAGATGCACATTCAAGAGGAATCTAGGACTAGACAGGTCATTCGTGTCGTGCCGTGGGGTGCTGGCTGTACCAGCATGTGTTTTTTGGGGAAATTTCCATGAATCCTTTCCTGGGCTGCGGGTCCTAGTGGCCAAAACCCTGCTTGTCTTTGAGATTATCGAAATCATTGGTGGTGCTTGCAATGGCATAATGGGTATTGTGTAGCCCCCAGGAAAATCTACAATTAGCAGCAACAACATGTAACAACATGTAACAACATGTAACAACATGTAACAACAATAATATTATTATCATGACATATCATAATATTCCAAGAATTATTATGTAATAGGGAATCCGTAGTAACCAACCATAGCCACCCTACGTATGTAGTTGTCCTTTCCATGTCCTTTCGACGGTCGAGGAGCCACTGGAAGCACTCCAATACTTGAAATCCAACGCGTTGGGGGCCCCAGGTGAAGCTACGAAAATCTACTGCTACGAAAAATAGCTGGCCATGGAGAAATCCCATGTTCAATCATATCTGCACATACAGTATTGCACTTGTTTAATCTATTTAAATATATCTTAATATATGATGGGTATGTATGCTTCCATGGTAAACAAAAACATGGGAAACATGTGGAAACATATGGAACAAAACGCAGGGTTACAACAGGAGTGCCCTGTTGTTTGACCCCACAATAGAGAAGATTAGGCCTTTGCATGGCTTGTCCTTACAGATGGGTTGTATACTGTACTCCGATATCTATGGTAAATCAAATCATCCTATGGGAAAGGGGTCCGAATTGGGCACCCCGAAAATTGACCAGAATCTCGCTCAAAAACCCAAAGCAATACATGTTGTGGGCCTGATTCTTCGAACCATGATATTTGTTTCAGAACTATTTGCGACTACGTGTAACATATATGTAACACGTAAATTTCTGTTCATCTTCAAACCAATTCCAGGACCAGGTTCACAAATCATCTGCGCTCCGTTGACAGCACGTGGTAGCACAAGACAGTTGCCGCTCTGAGGAACTCGAATAGAGCTTTAGCTCTGGTGACGACTCCATTTCTGATCGTGGTCCTGGTGGTTGTTCTCAACGGCCAGGGTCCAAGAGTCCAGGGGTCCAGAAGATCAGCGGTTGCAGATGTTCAGTGATGGCTTTCTACTATCAATACTGACTCAGCTGTTATAGAAAATTCGCAACCATCAATGTGAAGATAATTGGATTACCATATTGATGGGTTTCTACTTACTAACTCAACTGTTGCAGAACAATAGCACGTTTGAAGGGAAGAACATCCATTCGCCAAGTTGGTGCTTAATGCTATCGTTGGTTCACCACTCAGGCCTCTTGCAACTGTTGATGTTCCTGCAGATTGCGGCGCGCTACCGTGGATTCCTCTGATCACACCAAAATAGCTGGGATTTCATGGGATGTTCGTCTCCCAAAACATGGTAAATTTCATGGGTTTTGACCCATCCGACCCAATGTGCGCATCATGGGTTAACAGCGGTTAACATGTTATGTAGCAGCATACCGTTTCTAGAAAATTTCTACATATTTCTACCACGACCGTTATGTGAGCTACAAGAGACGGTCGCCGCAGGGACCCCACAAGCCACCCACGGGTGATGGCATGCTTGGCCGAATGGGCTGCAGCCCCAGGTTTTTCCATGGGCAAAACATCACAGCTGGCGGTTGTGCTGCGTATCATGGAACAAAATCCAGCAATGCCATGATGCCATGCAATGTGTTTTTTTCCCGCACAAACCCGCACAAAAAAAACATGTTTTCGCACGTGGTTTCGAAAACAAGGAAAAAGTCATTTGTGAAGGTCCAACTTGCTTGTTAGTGCTTTGTTTGTTTATCTGAGGTCAAAAGCTTCTGCCATCTATGTACAACTATCAGAGAGAAGAGCAGGCATGACTCTGACAATCTTCGTGACTTGTGGTGCCCCCCAGTTATTTTTTGTTGGTTTGCAAGCCCATCTCACAAAACATAGATCTAGAAATTACCACCATTGAAAAAACAACCGGTTACCCAAAGCACATGGAAATCCCATACTGGTTGGTGGTGACTGGAACATGACTTTTATGACTTTCATTGACTTTCCATATATCGGGAATAATCATCCCAAGTAACTCATATTTTTCAGAGGGTAGGTATACCACCAACGGTTGCATAAAATCACCAATTTAAGCGCTGGTAAAGTCACCAAGCATTGCGCGATTCCGTTGGCCCAGCGTGTCACCAGACTCTGCAGGAAGCCACTGGGCCGTCCTTTCCGAGTCGCTATGTGCAATTCTGAGAGACACGGCCCTGAAGACCTGCAGAAACATGAAGGGGTCGCTATGGCAACCCCCAAGATGGAAAAGTATAGGGAAAAGTACACTATCCTACTGTAGGATAGTGATGATTCGTGATGAATTACTTTTCCATTGATAGATAAACTAAAAGGAGAATGTCACCTCCCCTCAAAATGACATTTTTGGCATTTTTGGAAGGTTGCCATCTTTATTAGGTGAAAAAACATGTTTTTTTTAGCAACCCCCCAAACAGATAGAACAGTACAAACATAGGAACCAGAAAAACAGGGATATAATGGGATATAACCAACCATATGATGTGGCGGATACCGGGATACCCCAATAAATTCCTTGGTCTTTGGTCATTGTGGAAGATGATGATGAAACTCGGGTCTGGGATCCCCTTGCTACCCTTGTTTTGCAGCTGGTGGGCCAGTTGTCTTTGCAGAGCTAAAAAGACTGCGCCCGTGGAACACAGCTGGTGGGCCCTGGGCTGCCCGGGATCATTTTTCAGTGGATCATTTTGTCCCAAGTAACTTAGACCGGGCCGGAGGGTCTCGGAAAATGCAAAGAGAACGTTCAACTTACCCTCTGGTTATGACATTCACAGTTTGCCATGGTATAGATGGCCCATAGAAATAGATGGTTTACCTATTAATAGCATGGTGGATCTTTCCATCGCGAACTTTTAAATAACCAGATGGTGGGTGACTTAACCTGATTGATGTCGGCCTTTTTGTGATGCATCCTGGCTTAGCGCATGCATGGTTAGTTTGAGCCATGCCGATCGGTGCCTTCGCCCTGCGCTTCAACAATGCGAGGCTGGAAAAGCTGACGAACCGCGTGATGTGTTTAGCGGGCATCGCACTTGTTTTGCTTTTCATGAGGCGCGGCAAAATGTGTACAAGGAATTACAAGGATGTAAAAGGTATAGACAATTATTTTTGGGGATGTGTTCAGTTGAACCTGTTTTCAAACATCTTCAAATGATGTAATTGTATAAATCGGCCAACTTGAAGCCCTCTTACTTACCAAACAACTGCATAAGCTGCTCTAAAAATGCCGTACGACCCCGCAGGCTTGCAGTGGGCCTTCTGATTCCAAGCCATTTGATGCAGGAGTTTCACAGCCAAACAGATGGCTTCACAGCCCCAGGGCTGACCATTGGCCTGCCTGGACTGGCTTTGATGTTCGGATTGATTGTTCCAGTCTGTGGATACTGTGGTGCCAAATACAACAATCGTCTTGCCGTTGGCTTCTTTGCACCTGGGCCACTTTTTCAGACCTTTGGGATTTGTGATTTCGGGAATTACCTTTTTGAATTTTTCGGATCCTTTTGGTATTCGAACACTATAAATTAATGATCATATGGAGGTGTCGCTGGGAAAATCAGAAAAAACTCCGTGACTTTGTTTCCCGTTTTTTTCCCAAGGCATGGTGCAACTGTCTAATAGGCTGCCTCCAAGTTCTACTGCTGATTCTCTGCATCCTTGGATTACTTGCCATGGGATCCGTGGTGGAGCGCTGCAAACCAGGCGAGGCGCATCGGGATGTCGACCTTCTACATGCTTGCAATGAAACTGGATGGAATTGTTGCCATACACTTATTTAAAATATATCATCAATGAGCTTTGGGCCCATATTCAGGAGGGATGATATTCACAAATTGACTTAGTTGTGCAGGGATTCCGATCGATTTGCCACTGATATCACTCTAAAAAGATTTATAATCATCATATTTCAATAAGTGAAGTTTTGAGTTTTGAGCAGACGATCAGCATCAACCAAGGAAATTATGCAGGGATGCAAATATATGAAGAGCTCCAACTTTGACTTAGCGAAATATGAGGGATGCTATGACTATATGTCGTCTGAGATGTCTCCAGTGATGGGTTTCTTGGGTCTTTGTGCAGCATTGAGTTGTTGTGTTGGTTGCCTGGCATTCGGCAGTTGTTGCTGGGGCAGGGAACTACACAGTGCCATGGATTATCAAGAACTATGCATCGAATCGTCAGATGACGCTTGATTTCAAAAAAAACACGAAGATTGTCCGGAAAATTGCCAGCCAAAGCAAGCTGGTTGATGCTTCAGCTATCGATTTGAGTTTTTTCAGCATTAGGCAGAGCAAAGCTCTTTAAGAGTTCTTTCAGTCTCTTGAATGCACAAGACCCATTTTTCAGAGTAATGTTTGCCTTGGATTCAATTTGAGATCCCGAGGGAAGCTTGAAAACTGTGCCTTGCAAGAAAGTGCAAAAGGTGATTGGGTGCAAGATTTCAACGGCATAGATTTCAGAAAAGGGAAGGTTCCTAGAATTTCAAGTAAAGCACACTGGCCACGCTGGATTTTATTCCAGGCTGGCTCCATACTTTGCATTATATACATATACATACATATATATATATATAATATATATATATTACATTCCTGTTGGACAAGTTGTGCTCCTGAATTTCGTTGTCTATATGCTGTCGTATTCCTCCCTTGCTCCCGCACGCGATTGTGTTCATTCTGTACACTGTCTGAAAACAGATGACATGTAGTGAGTCAAGGGCGCAGCGGGGCTGCAGTGGACTTCCCTGGACTTGTTTGATCACCGATGCCATTCCCACTTTGGAACCTGAACCTCCATTGCTTTCTTGAGGTATAATTCACGTTGTCACGTTGTCTTGCGCAAGGCATGTCGCAATGCTTGGCTCCAGCGCTGCTTCTTCTAGGCGGCTGTTTTTTTTATGCGGCTCCCATGCAATCCTCATGCCGATGGTAGCAGCGTCCAACCTTCCAGCCCCTTTGACCAACGGAGAACTGATCCAAACTGCCTTGTTGGATGATGTGCCCTCGTCCGACGAACTGGCTCAATGGCTTTTGGACAAAGGCTTAGATACTACAGACTGGGGAAAGGAAAACACAAAGGATGTCAGCAAGTTTTGGAAGGCTCCTTGGTCGTTAAAAAGCGGCAGTGAAACTGAAATGGGTCAGATTGGTTCAGCATGTCTGTATCTACAACTGAATCAAATATCATCATTTATATATATATATATACAAAATTTAAATGTTTAAAATTATATAAATATCTACAACATGTTCATCTATCAACTGCAATGTGCTAGACTCCTAGACGATCTGCTTGGACTTCAAGAAACGAGGTCCAGGTTTGGGCGTTGCCGGATTAAACCAATGAGCTGATCACTGGGTACGATAACCTGCCTTAGACATGTTGAGCAAAGTGACTCACTATTTGGGGCACAACAAAGCCCCCAAATGATCCTCAGCTGCTAACTTCATGTAGGAGATTAAGCTCAACGAAGCTGGGCTGGAAGTCTGGAGAACCGTTGATGGCACGCTGCAACCGGTGCGAACCGTGCATGTCTTGCGAGCCAAGGCGGGAGCACCGTAAAGGTTTAAATATAGCAGCCAATAAACAGGATCCAGGTATATATAGATGGGATGGGCTAAAATGTCCATCTATATATAGCTATATATTAGTGGAACATGATTTGTCTATCTTTTGGGGACAAGTTCTGCTTTTTCATAGTCTATCATATTTTATCAGTGGTGATAGGTGGAACATGAAACTGCTGGAAATCCAAAGACATTCCATTTCAGCCAAAGTCGAGCTGGCACCTTTCCAAGTTGCGGCCTTTCTCATCCCTCATCATAATAGTTCATGATTCAATATATTATTCAATGATATTCAATTCCATCATTCATTGGCGATGGCTAAATCATTAAACAGACCCTCTGGCGATTGCTGGTTGAGACACCGATAAGGACGCCACCACAGGCTGGGCATATCCCATAGGATCCATGTATGCTATATATGGTAACATTTACCATCAATATACCCCCAATGTTAGCATATATACCAGCACCATGGATCCTATGGGTATTTGGACCTGGCAGGTAACATCCCCAGATCGATACCAGCGTGGAATCTTCCTCTTCAACACCTGGCAGCAGTATGGTGACGGACGCACGCGCACGCGCAACGGCTTGTTGTCTGAGAAACTTGGATTCATCCAGAAAATGGGTATGGGTCAATACCTATAGATACATTTTTAGTGGGATGAACATCCATTTACCAGCTATTTTGGGGTTCACTCGGTACCAGGGTTTTGACCCATCCCCAAATGGAGGATTCAACGAGCCAGTTGATGGAGATTTTTATAAATTCCCCACCTGCTAGGTGAGGGTCTCTAGATTTTAAGAAAGGTGCAACTCCTCACCTCACCTCACCTCATCTTTTTTTGCGTTCTTCTGCCAGTTGTGACTGTGGACACCGGACCCGAGCCTCGCGAGCTCCAGATGCGGGACTCAGTGGGGCGCGCCTAGACCCGAGACTTATCTCCGGATGCAGTGCACGCATGGACCTGAACAGTCCTGAACATATGCTAGATAGAATGTCAGAATAGATGTCAGAATAGATGTCAGAATAGATGTCAGAATAGATGTCAGAATAGAATGTCAGAATAGATGTCAGAATAGATGCCAGATAAAATGTCAGATAGAATATCAATGGGTGGGGATTACTCGAAGAACGTGATTTGTTTTCTTTTGTGAGATTTTATGGGAGCGAGATATGGCCAGTGCCAACAACATGGGAATGATGAGTGCTTGGTTTGTCCTGAAACATCTGAATAGCACCAAGTCACGGCCTTTTATGGCCCTTAAACATGAGATACATATATAAGCCACCGCAAAAACCCCGGCAATACTAAATATATATTGGGCGGACATTGGTTTATGGAAATTGATGGAAATTGTTAAACACACACGGTAAGCGATGGGACCTTCCCAAATTAGCGATACCCCTTTTCAAGGTTATGTCATTGTATTTCTAATTGTACGTTGATTTCTGTGAAATATATATATATATTATGTATATATAAATGTAGCAGTTTCCTGCAAGCGATACCCCCCAAGTTTACCATATATCATTATTGTACAAACGTGTGGTAAGCGATGGGACCTTCCCAAATTTGTGGAGGTCCTTTCCGTGAACCTAGGGTTTTCGAGATTGCTCATATGGGGGGTTTCCTGAACTTGGGGTACCCCAAAACCATGGGTTTCAATACTAAGTCATGGTCTAATGACTTGGATGATTTGGGAGTATCCCTATTTTAGGAAACCCCCGGGGGGTTTCCCAATGATTTTTTCCCGATCCAAGGAAGCTTACCACTGCTGAGATGCCATTAGAGGAGAATTTGCACGAGGTTGGCCATGGCGTGCAGTTGAAACGGGAAGAGGAGAACGATGAAAACATATGGTGCAGATTGGATATTAATTAGATATGATATGTGATGTGAATTATATGTGATGATATGCGTGTATCTATATACGCACAATTTTGTTAGTGTCTATTTGTTTTTGCTGTAATTCAAAGTATGTGCTCTTGCTTTGCGCACGCAACATGCTTGATTGCAGCCGCCCCTCAACGAAGCAGATTTGAACAACAGGGCCTTCTTGTGAGCCGGCGTTGAAGTATCGATTCTCATCGATGCAAGGCTTTTCAGGGCATGTGACGATATACATCGAGATTCAGATAAGCGTATTATTATATAGTTGACACCCTATAGCAGGCTGGCGTATAAAGATCCAATCCATGATCAGTCTACAATTGTCTACATCATGTTGGGGTTGCTTTGAGAATAAGGCCCCGAAAAATCTCGCTCTTTACGATCTACGTGTCCCCGTGAAATTGGCCACAACTGGACAGTAGTAGAAGCCATTTTCAGACCCAGTGCAAACTTCCCAGGGCCAGGGTCCCGGGCCGTCGGAGCGGAGGTGTGCCGCAGGGCCGTCACGGAGGAGGAAATGCAACGGGTCGTGGAGAGCACGATGAAGATTGGACCTGGGCGACCTGCGCCCAAGTACGATCCCAACCACAAATGCCCTTTGGAGGCGCAGCTTGGTATCCTGCTGATGGAGAGATATAGGGAGTTCATGAGTCGCTTATGGAGGAGAGGACGGCTATAGATTGATCATTTCCAATCCCGCCTAGTGATCGTCCTGTCAGATCCTGTCAGGTGGTAGCTGAGCATTTTGTGGATCACATTATCGAGCTTGAGCCTTCCAAGAGTTACCCAGGTGCGGCGCCCTATGCCATGCTTGATGGGTTCCAGTGTTGTCACTAGGGCTGAAGCATGGTGAACCTGCAACCTGCTGTGAAAGGCTGTGAAAGCACATGCGATCCTCTAAGCTTTTCTCAGATCGGGGCTCAAGCCTCCTGTTTGGAGCGTTTCACGTGTAGGGTTTCAGATGTTTGAAATCTCCATTCCATCCACTGATTTTCATTTCCTGCATCAACGGGTTGTATCATGTTATACTGTATATTCTCAGACAGACCTTCAAGTGGCCAATTCATTGGTCAAACCCCTATTGATGATGATTAAATCCACAGCTTTGACGGCTGCATCCCAATTTTTCATGGTAAGATCCCACCATCTGGAGTATTTAAATCTGGATGGATGAGGGCTTATGCGGCAGTTGTAGATCTGATATGTTTGCTTACCTTCATTTTTTTTTAAACAGACTTTTAGATACGCTTATTAGATGTACGGCAGATAGAGATATTAATATAGAGATACACAATAATGAATGTACATATGGAATTACAATATATAGAATGGTATAGTTATGAGAGTAGGACAAAAGCAATAACTTCCTGCAGCGCGTGTTGAACCTTGTCACTGCCAGGGCTCCTCACGATGTACCACTTGTACACCGTTGATATTGTTTGCACTGGTCTGCCTTTGACAGACTTGAATACGTTGGAGTTTGCAGATGCCCAGAAGGACTGGGAAGCGAAGCAAAAACATGTGAGGGGTGTGGGTTGAACTGGGAAGTAGCCAGCATGACAAATGTTCAAGAATACATATTGCCAAACTGATTTTTCATGATGATATGTAGATGTTGGAAGACATCTCTGTCACGTTCTTTGCTCTTCAATGACTTTTGCAGAAATCAATTCGCCAGCCACTGGCACTGACAACTTTCCAGGACGGCAATCGACCACTCAAATACATCCATGCATGGGTATGGCTGGAGCTGCTCGTCCAAAAAGCCTCAAAAACCCATCGGTTGGTTTCCAGTTGGGGCTGTGCATGGCTGTGCTAGCTGTTCTATGCGTGGCGCAAGTGGCTGTGCTCACTGGTGTGCTATGGGCTGAGGTGGCCACAAATCCAACGCTATCTTTTTGAAGGTAGCGTGCTAAAAGAAACCAAAGGTAAAGGCACGGCAATGATGCTGAAGAGTGTGGAACATTGTGGGAGTGTTGGGAGTGTGCTCACTGGTGGGATTACGGACTTAAACAAAAACTTTGCCAACTTGGATGCCTTTGGCGATGCAAAATTCAGACATATCCAACTTGCATCATTTGTGGTGAGCCGATGGATGCAGGATCTTTTGGAGATGCAGATGCCTTGACAACGTGGCTATCGCAGTTCGATTTGCACATGGACGCCTAAAAGCCGCGATTGCGAGTTTTGAAATTTGGTCGATGGTCTTTGTCATCTTCGTCTCTATTGCCATTTTATCCATGTATATTGATGGTAAATGTTACCATATATAAATAGCAGCACCATGGATCCTAATTGCCATTTTGTATAATTTTGTCATCTTCGTCATCTTGGTATTTTGTCATTCAGTGACTACAAAGCAAAGATTAGCCGGCCCAATACTATTGCAGTGCCCTTCGGCAGAATTCTAGCAACTGAAGTTTTCATAATCATCCATACCCCATAGGATCCATGTATGCTATATATGGTAACATGGATCCCATCAATATACCCCCTTTATGTTACCATATATACCAGCACCATGGATCCTATGGGTACTTGACAACTTCAGCAACTAGCGAAATCCCAAGATCGTCATGTGGTGATTTCGCCACAGCTTTTTGCAGGACACATGGGGCAAAGGAACCCTGAAGTCCGTAGATTCCTTGCAACATAGCTGCAAGATTAGAACCCATGAGTTCTCTGTTGCTTATATATATATAATACTATTCTTACTATTTACTGTACCTACATTAGGATAGTTTTCTGGGCAAAAGTTGGTAAATATGTATTCTGTACATGGAGCATCTGGGTTTGATGCTTGGCTGTGGCGATCTCTGAAAGTGGGGCAAACACTGGATGCTCACGCAGCAGCTGTGGTTGGCGATCAGTTGCATCATAGGAACAGGAAGATCATGGAAGATAGCTTCGTATGTTAATATAATTTTTATATCAACTAATTATATGCTTCATATGTGGCATACGGTTGACCCTGTTCGACATGATCTGGTTTGTGGTTTGGAACATTTTGTATTTTGGGAATAATCATCCCAGCTGACTAATATTTTTCAGAGGGGTTGAAACCACCAACCAGTGATGTCTATACCATCGCTGGCATCATTTTTTTTCAGGTTCCGAGAGATCGAGAACGAAGACTCGCAGCTGGAATTGTGGGGCCGCCATGATGGGGTTCCCATGCGACTTGGCAAAAGGGGGGATTTTACAGCATTGCCTGTTTAACTACGGCATACATGGTATTATGCATATTATATATATATATCATGTTTTGTATATAATTAAATATATATATATATTATTATGTTAATTACTATGTGATATTACAACAGTGTGAAAGTGTCGACTATTTTTTGGAGGATGATGCTAAGATTCTTTTCCAAGTGTTCCATCAAACTCTTTTGACCTTGTTGAGCTTGAATGACACGTCCCAAAGCCCAAAGATGTGCTTCTCAGAAATGTTTTCTCAGATAAACCACCAACATGTTACTGAGAAACTTGGTGTCGCAAGACTTTTTTTTAATGGTTTTGTCTGAAAATGGGGTAATACCTCCCAAATGGTAATGTTTATATATATAATATATATATATATTCTCTTCATGGGAAAAATGAGGTGTTAAAAGCCGTCCAACATTGGGGGTACCCCACAAACGCAGACAAACCCAAATGAGTGGCAGCTGACAGGTGTGTCATACAAACTGTATCAAACCGTTGAGGTTCTGTTGGTAGTTCCACAAAAAGGAGCAAGGCTACAGCGGGGACAGCCCTGACGGATGCCCTGACTGGATCTGGCAGCCAAGGTTAATGCGTGTAACTCACGTCCTTCAGCATCTTGGACGCAATGGCTGTGGCTGATTCTGATCACAAGATGGAGGACTAAGCCAGGCAGTTTAGGATATAATGGGGATATGTTGCGAGAAAACTAACACTATGGGGACGGTTCAGAAAAACAATGGGATACTTTAATAGTCTATAAGATAGGGATGAGTTTGGAATTGTCGTTAAAAAAGTTGTTGCTTGAGACATCTGTTTGTTTCAAACTATGTTAAAGTTGCAAAGCCAGCTTTTTTCACCATATCAAATTGGGGTTTATGGTTGTGATATTTAGTGTTTATACTCCTAGTTGGTTGTACTGATTTAGTGATATTTAGTGATATTTACCCTCTGGTTATTTAACATAGCCATGGGAAATGACCCATAGAAATAGATGGTTTACCTATTAATAGCATGGTGATTTTCCATGGCGAACTGTTAGTCATAACCAGATAGTAGTGATATTAGTTGGGATATTTAGTGATTTTACCCAACTAATATCACTAAATACTGTATCCATAAAAGGTTGGGATGATGTAAAATGACCGCCTTTTATGCTTGGCTGAACGGCTCACTTTCGTCTGGTCAGATGTCCAAGGCCATGGCTTTTGAAAAAATCCTTTCACAGGTTTCTGAAGATCCAATTTCAAACTATGCCAAACTGTTAATATGATATAATATAATCTATATATATATAATTATGCATATATCATATATATTTCTATATACATACCCATATAGGATCCATGGTGCTGGTATATATTAATGCTAACATATATTGGGGCTATATTTCTTGCTGGGATCCATCTAGCAGCACCATATCCATCTCGCAGCACCATTCGTGGATCCGTTGCGTTGCGGACGAGTCGCGACGAGGCTGCGGGTCACCTCTTCGGATCCCAGTTTGAAGGGGAAATTCCTCTTCAGCACCTGGGCAGATCCTTGGTGGCAGATGACTGTGTTAAGTTGCTAAGTCGTTAGCTGCAGGGCCCAACATGTGTTTTGACTCAGTGCTCGAGGGTCTAGGATGCAACAAGTGTTTTGAAACTTGCCGACTAGGACTAAAACACATGTTTGGGAAATCTTTGCAGTAAATCCAGCGGGTGTCGATCTAGACGTGCCCTTTTTTCCTACTTGTGCCACCCCTGGAGATTTGTCAGCAACAATTTCTCCGCAATTTTTCATTGAGTTTTAAAATTCCATCAAGTTTTTACCAAGGTTGTGACATTTCATCAGGTTGTCACCAGGTTGTGAAAATTCACAAGGTTTTCATCAAGTTTTCACCAGGTTTTCACGAGGCTTTTTCGAAAAGTTTTCACCAGGCTGCACTAAGTTTTCAAACAGATTTCGGCCGCTTTTTTGACCAGGTTTTCACCAAGTTTTGACCAGGTTTTCACCAAGTTTTCACCAGGTTTTCACCAGGTTTTGAAAATTCACCAGGTTTTCACCAAGTTTTCACCGAGTTTTCACCAGGTTTTCACCAAGTCTTCACCAGGTTTTCAAAATTCACCAGGTTTTCACCAAGTTTTCACCGAGTTTTCACCAGGTTTTCACCAAGTTTTCACCAGGTTTTCACCAGGTTTTCACCAAGTTTTCAGCGAGTTTTCACCAAGCTTTCACCAAGTTTTCACCAGGTTTTCACCAAGTTTTCACCGAGTTTTCACCAGGTTTTCACCAAGTTTTCACCAAGTTTTCACCTGGTTTTGAAAATTCACCAGGTTTTCACCAGGTTTTGAAAATTCACCAAGTTTTCACCAGGTTTTGGTCCAATGATATTTTCGATCCATTTTCACCATGAAAACACATAATTTTTACCAAAAAGTAGGCTCAATGAATTTGGAACCTGTAAAACACTTCTTCGTGTTCACAACAAAGAAATCACCAGGTTTTCACCAAGTTTTGAAAATTCACCAGGTTTTCACCAAGTTTTGAAAATTCACCAGGTTTTCACCAAGTTTTGAAAATTCACCAGGTTTTCGCCAAGTTTTGAACATTCACCAGGTTTTCACCAGGTCTGGAAATTTCACCAGGTTTTCACCAAGTTTTGAAAATTCACTGGGTTTTCACGCAGTACCTATCTCCAAAGTTCATCGGATGTTCGTCAGTTATTTTACAGTCAGCCCGGTGTTCATTAAAATATGAATTTTGAAATGTCACCAGGTTTGCGCAAGGAGCGAAAAGACCAAGCGACCGTCAAAAATGATAACATGTGACCTGGATGTGCTTCCAAAATATCATATCATATCAACACAAATCCCATTGAGATGCTTATACTTATACTGACAATCTCAGCCTTTCATATCCAACCAAAAATATCTAATTAGTTTTTGTACGGTGGAACTTCCTGATACCACATGGTATTCACATGTATTTACAAATCATATTGAGGTCAGTAAAGTCAGCTGCCTTCAGTGGCATGTATCCAGCATTGAACTAAAAATGCAGCTGGGGATATCTTAAACCATCTTAAACCCACTGCAGAGGCTGCAGCATCAACAAGTGTTTTTGTTCACCTAATTTTGGGCCAAAACACTTATATGTGTTTTACGACTCTTGGAGCGCTCCCAAAACACTTCTTTGGTTTTGATATACCGTCTCGGTCTGGACAACCCCAACTTAGCAACTTAACAGATGACTGATTTTCTCGGCTGAGGAATGTTTCTAACTAACCGCTGTGAAAAACTGGGTTAGTTATGGTTATAGTAAAAAAAAAGAATAATGAAGATGGTTTTTTTATAGGATGAAAATGGTTATTATATGTTATATTTTAGTTTAATAGGAATCACTGATGACACGTAACAAATATTTGTTTCAGGATCTTCAAACAGGTTCTGATCCATTCTGACTTCTCATTTGATCTGAAGGAATGACGACTATCCTTGATGATTTTTGCAGATATGAGTTTTGAGCAAACATGAGCAAACGGTTTTCGAAACAGATACCCAAACACATTACCCAACACTGAAATTTTAGTGAAATCCCAGGAATTTCTTCGTGAAATCCCAGGGCGGATCCACCAGAAATTTCTTGGTGAAATCCCAGGAAGCAACCAACGGCAAGAGACGTGTGACGCACACGTTGCCTGCCATGAAGTTGACCTTGTGTCTTAGCGGCAAACGCTTCCGGAATATCGGAATGATGTTGCCAGCCATGGTCATTTAACGTATGGAAAATGACTCATATATATATAGTAGATGATATTCCTGTTCAACATGGCAGTTTTCCCTATGTTAATTTACGGAGGCTAGTTGGATGGGATTAATATGTTGGCTATATATCCCTATTTCATGTTCTACCCAGACATTACCATCCCCTTAAACGTTTAATTAAGAGAATAATAACAATTCAAAGAAGACCAGTGCATGACTCAACAGCCGGGTGCCATGGCTTTTCTGCTAGACATGGTTTTGGCTTTCTCATGAAGCGCGTAGCTTGACTAGTCTCTTCCCCTGTTCATATTTGTTACAATGGTCCCAAGGATGTGCAAATCGGCTACTTATTACATCTCGTTACCATGTTTTGTGGGAGGTGTAACTCATAGGAGGATGTGATGATACAAGAGCTGGAAGCCGGGGAACCACGCTGCCAGGAAGGACATGCCTTACGATCTCGAAAAATTCACCACTTGCGCATCAGCGCTATTGGCAGATCAGTTAACCAATGTGGTGGATATCCATTACCGGCACCTCGAAGGAATCGGGGTTCAGCATGGTGAAGCTGTCAAGGAGTAGCTTTTCGGGCTAAAAAACCAGAATGGGGGTGGAAAAGTGACGATAAACCACCGGATTGTGGAACAGACAAGATTTTGCCGCAAGCGTAGATTCTGGTTTTGGTTGTTTGAACTATGACACTATATGAACACTATATGAACTATATGAATTATGTCATATAGTGTTCTAGATGGATACAGCCAGAAGATCTATGACACTATATGAACCAAAAAAGTGGATCCTGCATGATCCTGCTTTGTTCTGTCAGAAGCTCTCAAACCCAACCTTGGTTGAAGAATCATGGCCTGAATTAGGGCTCTGAACTTTCCAGCACATAACTCCCTGTCACTATAAGACAAGGAAGCTTGGAATATCATGCCAAACGGCCTCAAAAGAAAAACAAGCCGTGCAACAAGTATATAATATGAACCTGATAATAATGAAATCATGTGTATATATACTGTATATATACATATATCATATATGTACACTAATATCTACTTACAGTATATCGAAACACACACACACGCAGTTTCTCCTCTCGAATTTCCCAGAGTTTCACGAATCATCCCATGATTTCTGCTGTACCTCAATTCCATCTCAGGTTTACAGCCGATTCGTGCCTCATTTGCAAGAATGTGTCATCATGTCATCTTCACTGCCCCATGGATTTAACCAGCAAAAGATTGGGATCTAATTTTGGATGATCGTGTGATTTTACCAGCATTCACAAAGGGATTTCACATAGATTTTGGAGTCTGAAAATGGCTTGTTTTTTGAAGCCACATATATGGCCATTTTCATGGGAAAAGGATTATAACATAAATCGCTTGATTTGGGGGTACCCAATTTTCAGACAAACTCAAAGGTTGGAATCATTCAGTTTGAAGGTGCTCAGATGATGGTCTGATGAAAATTAATGTTTGGTGCCTATAGTGCCTATATCAAATGCATTCAAATGCCATTCGCAATAGATGTTTGCTTACAGACACACACACACACTTACACACGCACACACATTCATATGTAGATTCCTCACCAGAGTTCTTCAATGACTCCCCAGATGTACCGACTTTTAATGATTCAATGAAAATCTCTCGGGGCACACACTTGTTGGTCACTTCACACCGAGTTCATTGAGCGATTGCGAACCCTCTGGGGTTCAAATGGGCGACTTGCGTGGCTCGGCAGCTGGATGGGCCGGGATTCGATGTGATAGGATGGGGCAACTGACTTCCTGCCCGTGCCGCTAAGACTTCGTGGAACAGCGACATGATGTGGAGGAATCTCCGTCGTACAGGTTGGGCAACATTGGGCAACTGGGCAACTGGTGCTGTGGCCATGCTGATTTCATGAGCAATTCCTTGGTCTTTGGTGTGGCTCATGGGTTCCTAGTTCCGGTGTCAATTTGTGCACACGTGCAGACGTGTGTTGGCAGTTTTCAATAGCTACAAAAAACCTCAACCTCGAAGGAATACATTTGACGGCAGCAGTTTGGCATCGCCAGGGGGCTCTTCACGATGTACCATCTCTACTGCATGGAAGCTGAGTGTACAGGCGTATCTTTCACTGGTGTGGAAAGTGGTTGACCATGGATGAAATTCTATGTTAGAACGCAAAGTTACGGACTTTGAAAGCATGTCAGAATCTAGCCAAAGACGCGGAATCGGCAGAGTGACCAAGCTTTTCCTCTCTTCGTTTCCCATATTTTTTCCCCCAACGGCAGGCTTACCCATCAGCGACTTTGCATCGATGGACCTGAAGGCTGTGATGTTGGAGCTGATGTGTAATTGTGTTCACCGCAACTTCGGAGGCCTAAAGAAGAGAACTCCAGGCAAAACCAAGGTGTTTGTGTTTCTGTGGAAAAAAAAACAATATTTTCTGATCAACCCCAAAAATATGTTCAAAGCTCTACATGATTCTACATCCCATTGCGAACCAACGTGGCTTTCTCCTAAGGGAACAGTCGAGTCACTCTGCCAGGGGGGTGCGATCTACAGCTTGAAAGGCTGGACATGGGCATCCGCCCAGCGCGTCATGGCGCCTGGGCCTGGCAAGGGCTTGGTGAACATTTTTTTGGATGGTATAAATATGGTGTATGTATAAATACGTATGGTATAGATATATGTATAGTATATTATCATAGTGTTATGATTCAACTCTCATCATATATCATATTTACTTTATATATATAGAGATATTACTTACAATTTACATCATCATAATTATACAATGTACTTATGTACATATATATGTTAGCAAATGGGTGTAGCTGAAATACGCTACAACCCCAGTCACGGATGGTTCATGGGATGGTCTTTATGTCATGCTTTGCCACAAATCTTTGCAGTCCCGTTAAATGTCAATAACACATCCCATTAAATGTCATTGATGGATATTGATGGTGATATTGGGGATGTAAAAATACATCATTTGATTTATAAACACTAATTATTATTGAACATCATTAATATCCCACTAACAATATTGTGGCTAAAAACCACATCATTTTGAATCCCGGACCCCAGATTTTCCTCGCCGAGGACATGATGAGACATCGGTCATTAGTCTTGGAGCGTGAGCAGGTCGTCCCCCGGGACTTTTCTGTGATAAAAAACCACCAGGCAACTGCTAGGATGAGAGTATGCAAGATATGGTAACATTTACCATCAATATACCCCCAATGTTAGCATATATACCAGCACCATGGATCCTATGAGTATGGAAGCAGATTTGTCTGAAAATTGGGAATACCCCGTTTATGGACCATCTGAAGGGGGGTGAATCATGATTGACCATGAAAAAAAGAGCTGTAGAATAGGGAAAGCCTATTCTCAGACAAAGCCACATGGTTGTGTCAGGGCCAAGCCATGCAGCTCTGGCAAAACATGAGCAAAGAGAGTCTGGACACCGTTGGAAGGTGCAGCGCCGATGGGGGGAGTTTATCGCTGAGTCTATCATTGTTACTGAAAAGGCCATTTCAGAGAGGTATTTGTTGATTTTGATCCACGTCATCCTGTAAATTTACTTGAGTGTGTGATGGTCTATGACAAACATTGACAAGCATTGACAAACAACATTGAATGGGACCATAGGGACGGGGATCGATGAGTCACTTCGAGGTTGGATGAACTGCTGAGACAGTTGTCCAATCCCGAAAGCGAGCGCGAGCAAAGCCTGGCAGAATCCCGCGAGCTCTTGAGACATGGCATCGCTTTGGGTTTGATGATGGCTTTGATGGTCAAACAGTGCACCTTTTCAGACATGGTCCCATGGTCCGACGAGTCTATGCAATTTAAGTGAGAATTCATTGAATGTAGAGCAAATTTGTTAGTTTCGAACAGTGTTGTTCTTGAGTTCAGATGTTTCATTGCTGCTTCTTTATGAATATGTTTATGACAAGAACGTCTCATGTTTACATATTTTTACCCAGGAGCTTGCTTGAGACGAAGCTGATGGATGCTTCTGCCGCCTGGAAAAACATGGTGTACCCCAGCGAATCCCCCATTCAGGTGAAGTCTCAAGAGATTGCAACATACAACCTGAATCTGAAGTTGAAGGACGAGTGCTATGAAGATGTATGAAGGAAGTATTGCGTTGCTTTGATTCTCTTTCCATTGCACTTTGGACTTGGTGCCAACCAGACGTTTCATGTTTCATCTATGTTTCCATGTTCCAGGCAGATCATGCCAGGCTGTTACTGTAACAGGTGCCACGCGATTTTTCAGCCCTGGTGTCCGAGGGCCAGAAATCTTCTCGCCATGATGACAGCCCAAGTCGCAAAGGAAGGAGTTGGGATGCCCTGGTCGATGCTGTAACTGATGTCAACCCTGGTCGGTAACTTTCTCCATCTGTTGGTTTTGTTGCAGGGTACCCTGGAAAGTCGACAATCCGAAAAGGGCCCCTCAGCACACTAACCCCCAATTTAGGTTCACTATGTTTAGATGTTAAAGCTGGATGAACCTAAAGACAGTCTGTGACACAGTCATCAAAGTAGTCATCAACCCGCTAATCTCCACCCCCATCAAAACGATGAAGCCGATGTATTGGGCTATATTTATTGGGCCTATATATTCATTTTGGTGGCCCGTTCAGGTGGGAAATTAGAGTTGATTTATAGAGGATATTGACAGTATAGTACAACCGAGTTTTCAATGGGATAATCTCCAACAAACCACACTCTATTCCAAGTGGCCCATTTATTCACAGCTGTAATATGTATTATGATCCTGAAATAGATAGAACATGGAATGGTCAAATACAGTACATGTTCATTTTATTGCATTTTAGTGAATACTTTTGAAAACACAAAATCATACTTGTAGGATCCAAATCCGAGAAATTTCGAGGTGTTTCCGCTTTTCAGTGGTTTTGCTGGAGAAGATCTGCAGGTATTCTATCTTCTGCATGATTAGCCTCTATCAAACCTGGCCGGAGAATCCAGCACTACAAATCGATGATTTCCAGATGGCCAGCTGGTGCTAGTTTGGATTTTCCAGGCTCGATTAGACAATTTTTTCCATTCGAATGACTCAAAAAATCTCAGATGTTAGTTAATGTTACACCAATATTTCCCATAAATCACCAATATTTCCCATAAATCACCATATATTTCCCATAAATCACCATATATTTCCCATAAATCACCATAAAATCTCATGAAATCCTCTAATCAAGTCCCTTTGGAAAACCACGTAAAGCGCGGATCCGGGAACCAGGTTTCGTAGAGACGTTGCCCCCGTCGATGTTGGCTGCCATGGAGATGTAGCTTGGAGATGGTCGAAACCGCGGGACGAACAGCAAAATGTGATTGGTATGTAAAAAGGAATAGAAATGGTTGAGCATGGAAAAAAAACAGGACTACAACGTGCACTATTTTGAACCGGCGATTACTTGTACGGTTAGGGTTGTTCTTATAATATGGTTATAACCATGGCCATAGCTTGCACCTCCAAGGCTGCCAAGGCCCAAGCCCTTGCTGCTTTCAGGTCTAGTATTGCGTCTGACAAGTTTATGGAAGAGACGCAGTGGAAACAGGTGGAGGTGCCCCTCATCAGTGACTGTTGTGGCTGGTTTTTCTACCCCTGTTGATGATCAGTTCAGGGGTTAGTCACTACCCACTATATGTATCTATATCGGTGAGTTGTGAGTATCATGATCCAACGGGAATCTCCGCACTCGAGGCTGCCAAAGTGAACAAAAAGGAAAGCAACGGAAGTGGCTAAGGCGGCGAATCGGCTCTCGGTTTGCCCATGGGAATCCACTCGATTCTGCCCCAAAGTCTCTGGTGGTGCCCCAGTTTGTTCGCCTCGGTTGATAACTTATGGCGCCAATATTTGTGTTCACTCAGCTTTATGGGATAGGCATATTATATGATATATATATATATTCACTAATATGATATCTATAGTTGATCGAGTTCTGAAAGCCACCAGTGATTTGAGGTTTTGAAATGGGAAGACTATGCCTTAGTACGCTGTTGCTGTGCGAGAAAACTGCTGTGGGCACCGGGCCTGCCGGGCACCGGGGCGCACTCCGCCGTCGTTTCACAAATGTGAAGACCTGGAGTCTGTCGGAGTGCCATCCCCTGCGCCTGCTGAGTTATCTCTGCCATGAGTTGACACCTGGGAGTAGCGAGTTATGGTCGAAACAGGGGAAACACACTGAGTTTCCGCTCAGGGTTTCAATGTGGGGTATATATGTACCAGACATTACCAGACTTGCCTTAAAGGTAACCTTTGTTTGCCCAGACCACAATCGCAAGACAATGCCAGACATCTTTGCTTTCCCGTGTAAGAAGGGAGTGGTATGATGGGAGTTGTACGCACTTGCCTTAAATGTTTTGAGGCATTCTCGTAGCTTGTGGGGTAGCACATTTATAATATAAGTGAGAAGTTCCTGGTAGTCCAGAAATATTGATTTTCCATTTGTATCTGCCATATCTGAAGTGGTTACAATATGTTACAATGCTATGTCGGCGGCAAAAGCCAAGAGATATGGATCCAATCTGTGCAACAAGGCGGAGGTCGAAAGCAACCAGGCGTAGCGACCCGGTTGGACATCTCCGTTAGGACTTGTTGGTTTTTGTGTCAGTACCTTCACCATCGTTCAAACATGTTTCATAAGCGATGTTTTGTTGTCTCAAAATTGGGAATGCCCCAAAATGTTTTGAACGGGGAAACAACATGGAAAAAAAAACAGTTAAAGTTAATGAAACATATTTTAACTATTAATAATTTCAAGTGGCGGACTGTACGCACATGTCCCTTTTTGTGTGGAACCCACTTTGCCAGCCTGGTATGGCGCAAAATTCTGACACAGAGGCTCGCTTAAAGAGAAAGTCTGACCTGTTTACGAATCGAAGTTGCCCAGTTCCATGAATGCTTATGTTCTATTTTTGAATTATAATTATCATGAATTCAATATTTTGGGAAGCTCAGATTCGAGAGCTATGACGTGTATATATATATATTGCGAATCCCTGACACGATTCCGCCACAAATCCTGCACCGGGCCGCACTGGGGGGAGTTTTCAGCTCCCTGGTTGCTGGCTGCGTCCAGTCTCGTCCAGCGAGCGATGGGCTGCGCAGCTCAAATAATTTCACTGAAGACTTTTGACATGACGCCAGCACGAGAAAACACCAACTTTGCCCGTTGAGCTTGGCATGCAATGGATGTGACGGATATTGATGGAAGCAGATGGTCATCTACGATTTGAATGTGCCATTTGACCCTCCATGTACCAGCTGAAAAATGCTGGAGGATCTGGGTAGGCTGGAGCATCTCCTTGCTGCACAACGCATGTTCTCACTTGCCTTATCCCCCTGCAGGTCTCAAGCCCGTTTGATATGGGATGGACAGCCCAATCCCCTGGTGGCAGAATGTCATCCTGAATTCGTTAGATTTTAGAGGAATGTTGATATCTAAATTTGAAAGCAATGATCTGTAGTCAGCAGTTTTTTTTCTGTTGACTGTGATAATGCAATATAATATATATATATATCATATATATATATCATATATATATATATATATCAGAATATCAAATGTGATACAGGCAAAACAGAATCAAATGCTCTTTGAAGAGACTTGGTGCCCAGTCGCTTCGTTGGGAGTTCGGAACCAGCAGCCAAAGCATGACAGGTGACATGGACGGCAAAGCTGATGATTTTCGGGCATGGAAAAAAAAACATGAAAACCGCACTGTTGGTCTAGGCATGTACTATATAGTTACTATATGACTATATATCACTGTATCACCATGGCAAATTTTGAGGAATGTCAAGACATCCTTTTGGTTAGAAGCCCGAGAATTCGGAAGCTGTTTGCTCTTCAGTTGGGGCCCATTGATAGTGATTCCAATTGCGATGGGTTTTTTCGGGACATGTCGGGTCCGGAGGGTCCCACCAGATGAAGGAAAACACGTCATGAAATGTGGACCGGCCTGTCTGAAAATGGTGCACTCCATTGCACCATTGCACCATTGGTAATGATAAAATCCATTTTCATCATCATAGGGAAACAGTGTGTATATATAGATATATCCACATATATACTGGGTGATCCGCTTATATATATATATGTATATATATATATATGTATATATATATATATATGTATATATATATATGTATATACATATATATATATGTATACATATGTATATATATATGTATATATATATATACATTTATATATATATGATATGAAGAACATGATGAAAGTAATATGGTATTATAGTATATTAAATTAACTTAATTTCTATTATACTTTCCATTTCCAATATTAATGTTATTTATAACATTTTTTTCCATCGGAAAGTATACCTTCCATTGGTGCATGGTCAGTTTCACCAAACATTGCCGTCCCAAGGTCATGTCCACCGTGACGCTGCAACTAGGACAGCTGGGAGCCCGAAATCCATGCTTTTGTGGTTGGAACATCGTAGAAGTCCTAGGAAAAAAATGCTAATATTTACCAGCACATAGCCATTAGAATCATTAGAACTTGTGACTTTTCATGACTTTTCGCAATTTTTGATGGTTGGGAAATGGGTCCAAGAAGATTTTGGAATGGCATTCAACTGTATGCTGAGGTGTGGGAATCAACTTGGAGAAGAAGTGTTTTCGAGGCTTTTTCAGGAAGCAGAGGCCGAGGGAGGCTGAGTGGTGATTATATGGATAGGGGTCAAAACTATTCAAAACTAAAGACCTGGGGGACCAACAGAGTTAAGTTTATTTTGAGTTAACCATCCAATTATTGGGGTACCCAATTTTGACCCATACCCAGAAAGCATATTGAAAAATCACCATGTTTGACTGGTAAAACATCTGTAAATGGGCAATTTTCATCCATCTATACCATGGCTATGTCAAATTACCAAAGGCTAGTTGAGATTGAAGTGCAGTTTGCTGGACTTTGGCACTCCATTGATGCCATGCCACCCATCCCAAAGTGAACTTTTTTTGCTAAGTCCAACAGCTAATGAGTCTACCCGCTGTATGCTAAGGGCAGTTGCCAGCGCCAGCATATTGTGCTCCCCAGTAATATCTTCTTGTTTAGCAAATCACAGGATGCAAAGATGGTAATCAGTTGTTTCTAACATCAATTTTCTTCAGCGTCTCCCCAATAGTTTGCGCAAGCTGTGTGATTGTTATATAATTACGGGGTTTTTAAATGTTTTAATGGACCATCCTTTCAAAACGGATGACTTAGGGGTACCACCGTTTTAGGAAACCTCCATATCCAGCCAATGCCACAGGCCGCACCCACCAGTCTCAGCAAGTCCATTCACAAAGTCTTCTTTCGCCAAGCGCGAGCTCGAGGCCATGGTTATGGATGAGCTTTCCATTTCTTTGTGTTGGTCTTCACTGGGGATCCACATTTTCCGGCTGATGTTTGTACTGTCGCAACCAGGATATTCCTTAAGGTATTTGTGATGAAACATCATGGAACCAAATATCGCTAAGCGTCTGAAAATAGGGTCGTCATTTTTGTTTCCCCATTAAAATACCACCTTTTTGGTGATTTTGGGGGTGTATACACCACCTTTTTCAGGCACACCCCCAAAAAAACAGGGTTGGGTCTACAGAATATAATATACATATATATATATATTTAAGGGCTGCCGCCCCTGCCGCCGACCCCGGGTATCCAGATTGTTCACCGCCAAAAGGGAACGTGAGCTGGATTTAGATTGCGTGCGACAGGTTAGTGTTATCTTAACTTGATTTTGCGACAGTAATAATCGAAATTAGTACGGGAGGAAGATTTCGTTCAGATGCTTGGTTTATGTGGCTAGCTCATAAGCTAATACCAGGAAGATGATCTGTTGGATTACGACTGAATGCCTTTAAGTTGGAATCTTGCCTGCTAAGCAGCGTTGTCCAACCAATAAGCTTGGGCTCGGTCTGGCGCGGCCGCTAAAGGTGTAGAAGTGCATAGCAATGGAGGTGATAGATGTTTTGGAGAGGACTTAATCCAGGTATTGTGAGTTGTGAGAGTGTCTTTGTGGGACGATCCATTGAGATTCATCGTGTGTTTTTCGGTTTGTTGCTTAGCATATTCCTCATCATGGTGAAGCAATGGCGCATGGCACTTGAAAGAAGCAAGCCTAACGGTGTTCGTTATGTTCCTGCACTGTGTCCAATACCGCTTTTGCTGCTGCTGGTGGTGGTGGTAGTGATGGTGGTGTCCCTTCTGAAACCCTACTAGAAAGCCAATTTTGTCCAATTTTGATCTCCAATTTTGACTGCTGCTGCTGCCTCTAATAAAGCCAGAAACCAGCAGCCAGACACCTTTTTCGAAACACAGCCGAAACAGCAAAACACCACCTAATTTCGTGCCGAAAATTACGCAAAATCAGTCGCAATAACAGGTTCCCCGGACGCCGAAACGTCCCTTCTGAAACCCTACTAGAAAGCCAATTTTGTCCAATTTTGATCTCCAATTTTGACTGCTGCTGCCTCTAATAAAGCCAGAAACCAGCAGCCAGACACCTTTTTCGAAACACAGCCGAAACAGCAAAACACCACCTAATTTCGTGCCGAAAATGACGCAAAATCAGTCGCAATAACCGGTTCCCCGGGGGCCGAAACGTCCCTTCTGAAACCCTACTAGAAAGCCAATTTTGTCCAATTTTGATCTCCAATTTTGACTGCTGCTGCTGCCTCTAATAAAGCCAGAAACCAGCAGCCAGACACCTTTTTCGAAACACAGCCAAAACAGCAAAACACAACCTAATTTCGTGCCGAAAATGACGCAAAATCAGTCGCAATAACCGGTTCCCCGGACGCCGAAACGTCCCTTCTGAAACCTACTAGAAAGCCAATTTTGTCCAATTTTGATCTCCAATTTTGACTGCTGCTGCTGCCTCTAATAAAGCCAGAAACCAGCAGCCAGACACCTTTTTCGAAACACAGCCGAAACAGCAAAACACCACCTAATTTCGTGCCGAAAATGACGCAAAATCAGTCGCAATAACCGGTTCCCCGGAGGCCGAAACGTCCCTTCTGAAACCCTACTAGAAAGCCAATTTTGTCAATTTTGATCTCCAATTTTGACTGCTGCTGCTGCCTCTAATAAAGCCAGAAACCAGCAGCCAGACACCTTTTTCGAAACACAGCCGAAACAGCAAAACACCA